GTTAAAAAAAAAAAAAAAGAATACCAGATTAGCAATTTAAGCTTTTTGTCAAACATTTTTTTTATTTTATTTACAAACTGCCATTTGTTCACAGTACTGTTTATTTAGGTTAAATTAAGTGTATTTTGTCCATTGATTTCAGCAGGCTTAAGCACATTTAGTATTACATTGTATATAATCTTAAAATATAAGCTACTTTTTTTTTCCTCTGCAAGCTGTGGACAATGGAGACTGTTCACTGATTTATTTCTTAGCACTAAGGCATCTTTATGACTCTAAAACTCAGATAAGAGTAGTAGATCTTGTAAGGTATACAAAATTCTTAAAATAAAAAGAGCCCTATGATATCTCAAAGGCTAGCAAATATATTGTGAAATAAGCTTTGGGGAAATAGAATTTATTTTATCATTTGTATTTGCAAAAACTGAGCACAGAAATATTTTTCAGTCTACCATTTCCCTTTATGGGCCCTTGTACCTATTGTATCCACAGCAAAGAATTACAGTGTTTCTGAAATTACAGCTTACAATGTAAACCTTTTTAATGGTAATAATTTTCTTTCAACAGAGGAATTCAAAGGCTCAACAATAGTTGAATTGATAAAGAAAGAAGGCACCACTTTGGGGCTTACAGTATCTGGTGGAACTGACAAAGATGGAAAACCAAGAGTGTCCAACCTTCGACAAGGAGGAATTGCTGCTAGGTAAAGACTTTTCAAGCCAAAGGAAAAAAAAAACTTCAAGTTTCTCAACCATAAATAATAAATGTCTTTATCTAAGTTAGGCCATTACAATTGTAATAGTAGCATCTCAATTTTTTTTGCTTCACTGATATAAACTTGATATAACCAACATGTATTCTACATTCATAATTAATTTCTATAATAACTTATTTCCTTTGGAGCCTTTTAAAAGTTGAGGAAGCTGACAAATATTTCACATATAAGATGCAATTTCAGAAATAAAGAAAATGCTTGGTGATGTGCAGAATACATTCAGCAGTCAATTGGGTGACAAAGAACTCAAAAGCTTAAATAGATTGTACTGTGACTAATTCATTAAACTGGCAACTTTTTCTACATGTGAGCCATTCAGTTGTATTTTAAATCATATTTCACAAAATCTAATGGTGGTAGAAAATATGTCTCACATAAAGCAGGATTCAGCTTTAATCACTACTCTAACGAAAAGATCTTAAATGAAGGATTTTCACCTGACACTCTGAAACATTATTCTCCAACCTAGTCCTTTTTTGAGAATTCTGTGTCAACACATTTTAAGGTGTCAGATTATAGAAATTTGGACATGCAGAAATATTGTCACTCAAATAGCCAATGGGCTAGACAGAGAAATAGTTTGGCCAACTCCTGCTTCCTAAAATAAATACCTATTTTTGCTTTATAAGGCCTTTCTATATGGTAATAATACTACATGAATTAATGGAATATTATATTGCTAAATATAGAATGTCATATCACTGTTTTGAAAATTAGCATTAAAATAGCATATTTTTAACTTGTAAATGTTACAAGCCTGTCTCTGTGTACTTCGAAGTTACCTAAGACAAATAAAATACAGCTTCACTGAAAGAAGAGATGTGTATTGCAGAAGTGACCAACTGGATGTGGGGGATTACATCAAATCTGTAAATGGAATCAACCTGACAAAGTTTCGCCATGACGAGATCATTAGTTTGCTCAAGAACGTTGGTGAGAGGGTTGTGCTAGAAGTAGAGTATGAGCTGCCACCTGCTTGTAAGTAATAAGCTATGAACTACAATAATCCTGTGTAAAATGTTTTTACAAGAGTGAAATGAATGGTTATATTAAATTAATGTTCAAATATGGAAATAGCTTTTTCCCCACCTCTTTCTCTTCCCCTGGTTCACAGGCTCGCTGTTTTGTTCTTTAGTTCCACATCAGCAGTGCTTATTTGTTAGCCTCGTTTATCTAGGTTGTCATTTGCAAAATGCTTATAATTACCATGGGTGGTCTGTATGTTGCCAGAAGACACCCTGGGGGAAGGATTGCTATTGACGAAGGAGGCAGAGCTTTGATGATTTTGCCCGATCAAACATGGTCCTTAAGAATAGTACTTTAATTTTCTGTATCAGAATGAGTGATAACTATGTATTTACTTAGATAGAAGGAAATAAAAACAGTTACTCAGGAAAAGCAGAGAAGGGGCTGAATCAAGCATACTTTGTTTAAGATGATGATAGTTAAATTTTGTGTGTTCTTATTAAAACTGCCAAATTGCAATCCTCTATTTAGATAGTCTTTGGTGGATGCTGAGAATAATTAAGCTTTGTGATCTCAATGAGAGCATTTGGATTAACAATCAATTAAGCATTCAGTCAGTTTAATAGACTAAATATGTTTATTTTGAATTCAACATCTCTTTGCTCTTTTATATTCACTGAGGGTTTTTTCCACTGAACGGAAAAATGAGTCTGTTTTGCTATATTACAGCTATGACAATCACAGTACATTTAAGTTTTCAGAACTTATTCCTTGGCGTATTAATGAGAGTAAATGAAATTGATAATGCTTTTACTTATGAGACAAAATGATGGGTGTCTAGCTATTACTGTCAATAGTTGGTCAAAATGTACATACACAACTTCTTATAATGCAACAAACACTCTGTATATTACAAACTTCTTAAGAAGATAATTAACCAGAGATAATTAACATTGGCCCTCTCATATATGTAAGAGGATATTAAATTTAGAATTGCAATAATTTGATGTAACCTCCAGTTTTCTTGTGGCAAAGTGGCTTGAAAGCTATGCACTTTCCTCTCTCCTGTCACAGTTCAAAGGCTGGTTAAGAAAGCCCTTTAATCATTTAGATGATGCTTCAAAACATTCACTAAGATTTCTCCTTCAATTAGCCCACTAATTGTGACACTGTTTGTTAAAGGAGCTACATACCTTTTGCTCTGTTCCTGCTTTTGTGTCCAAGTGACAATATGGAGTAAGCAAAAAAAACAAAAACAAAAACAAAATTTCCCATTAGTTCCAGGAGCAAAAAAACTGGCTTTAGATTAATTTTGAGCTACAGAAGAATGGATGGAATTCTGTAACATTCAATGTAAACACAAGAAAGTAAAACTTTTCCTTCGGTATCCACACTGAGTGGCTGGCAAGGTCCAGGTACAGTCCCTGGCATGTATAAGTTTGGCTCCTGATTGATATTCTTGAGAATCTTTGTAGATAGATAGTTCGACACAGCATTAGATAGCTTTCTGAATTCCCATCAAACTCTTTTCCCTGTTTCACTAATAGGGGCGGAGCACAAGTTTTTTCTGGTTTGTGCAGTTTAATCAGTGTAGACAAATCTGTTTCTCAGGTGTGCTCTCTATAGTTTTCAGAGTAAGATTGTAGCTTTATTTGGATTCCTATTTTTCAGATCAGTTGACTACCTTTTGAAAACAGGCTGTTCTTCTTTAAGTTTAGATTGTTTTGAGGGCTGTTTTTTCTATGCCTTTTTTTGGTGACACTGTTTTCCAATATTATAAGAACTGGGGTTCTGCCAACCATTTGGAAGACACTTGATGAAGCACCCCTACTCAGCATTCAGCATCTATCCTTCTTTCTCTGTCTTGTTTTTTAATTGCTTGAATACAACTACAAAAATAAAAAAGAAGTCAGAAGATATAAACATTTAAATAAATAAACTAGGTACAATTATAAATATATAAAAATGGTTAAACTTGTTTAAACAGAATCATGTTTTCCAGCCTTTCTGCTGCATCCATGAAGGGCCAATTCAAAGGCTTGTCTCTTGATAAATTGTTGATCAACTGCTGTGCTATTGCTCCCACTATCGTTAGCTGGAGCTTCAGCTTGCTGGTGCATTTGCTGAAAGACTTTCCCCAACAAGGGATGGCTGTTGTCTTCCAGTAGTTTCTGCCTTGTTTTGGATTATCAAATCACTTTAGGATTCTTATCATTTAGTGGCCATTTACAAACTCCAGTAAACTGTGCTGTCAGATCTGTAGGAACTGTTTTTTTCTTTTGATCAGAGAAAAACTGCTGCCCTGCTTCTTGTGCCCTCCTCCCACCATCTAGTGTTGGACTATTATACTTCCTTTTCTATTTACTGGAGTCCTGAACTGTTCCCATGTTCAGTCGCTGTTGTATTATTTAATGAATCAAACTTCACTTCTTCTTCTTCACTGTTTTATTGGTGCTAAAGTTCCAGGTGATTCTGTAGTCGAAATAGCTGTTATCAGTATACTTTTTAAAAAGATCTCCAGGGTATATACAATTTATTTTTGCTCAGTCTGGGAGGAATTTTAAAGTTCAGAGGATCAGGGGGGGTTTCTGCATCAAATTCTAATTTTCCTTTTCCCCAGTCTTCCTGCCTGTCTCTTCTCCTTCTAGGGACGTTGCATTTAGCAGAATTTGACCTTGAGAGTGACTGAGCTCAGTGTCTTATCTCCTGTTGATTATCAGTCTTACGAGCTTGCACTGTTTCCCAGCTGCAGGCCTATCCACAGTCCTAGTTTGATTTCTGCTATTGAGTAAAGGGCAAATATAGTTATCTTTAAAAACCCAAAGAGTGGTAATTTGAAATCTCCAAAAAATGTTTCATTTTGATAATCATCAAAGGCAAAGTGGAACATTTAAAAGGTAGCACAATTCTCTCATATACCTGATAACTGGAGAGCCACATAATATCTCTCAGACTGCATGGTACAGCTGATGTGGCAGGAGCTGTATAAAATGATGCAAAATTGCTTGCAATGTATGCCATCTACCCTCATTTATCTCATTCACAGCAATCTGCAACATTACCCTTTTCTGCTGCAAGGCACAGGAGTTGTCACTATTTTCTGTAATTTTTGTGTTCAACCCAAGAGGATAACATCCTACAGCATGTTCATGATGCAATGAAACCCAGGAGGGAGATTTTTATATTCTCTGTTACTGCCTATTTTTCCTTCCTAGCTCCATTACATCTACATATGCAGTTCCCCTGTCTGGATCACTTTTGGTGTAATCCTTGTTATGTTACTTGGGAATGAAAGTAATTTAGTCTTTGATGCTCCTTCTTGTGATCTTAACATGTATTTCTCAAAGAGGATTTTGAGGCTCACCCATTTTGGTATAGTAGCCACTAGTTGGTCAAAGATTGAGATAATTGGTTAAGTTATTGATAAACAGTTTTTGGCCATTAAATCCAAAACACCATTCAGAGAAAGGTTTGTAGCTCTCATTTCCCCTCTGTCCTCTAATTGTACCCCTTCCTCAAGAGATGAAAGCTCTTAAGTCCCCGATCTAGCTGTGTGAGCTAATATTAGCAAGTTTAGAAGCAAACAAATCTGAAATCTGATGTCATTACCATAAAGTTCTTCCAAGTCTAAAACAGGAAGATTTGAGCCTTTTGCATTGCAAAGTTGGGGTGGGGGGGAGTACAAGAATTGAACTTTAATTTCACTAAAAGTAGGGCTTCCATTTGATATTTAGCAATTACTGGAATTCTTTCTTAATGGCTTCCTTGGTACTTGCAATAAACTTAACAGAGATATTGTATCCTTAAATTACTGTGTGTTCCAGTTCCACTCTCAATATCAGCCAAGTGAATCCTGGCACTAGCACCAGATAACTGGAGATATAAAGAAATACAGCTCATTTATTATGTTGCATAAAATTCTCTATTTTAAGTTGTTTAGAGCCTCTAGAAGTTATCTGCATTACACAATTTTCCCTCTTTCTTTGATTTATACTTGTTCTCTACATTACTCTAATTTCCATTCTTCATATTGTTGTTACTCAAATTCCCATCTTCGTATTAGTATAGCAGATAATTTCTGTACGTAATAGCAAAAACAAGTGAGTAAAAATGCTCATTAGCCATAAATATAAATACAAATAATGGACCATCTTCGAGTCACTAGTAACAAATAGTAATAAATAGCTTGCCTGGTGACCGAAAGGCCCTACATTATCTAAAGTTCAATAGTTGTGCTGGGAGCTAAAAAAGTTACCTTCTCCGTGTACATCTTAAGTTCATCCCCTTGGCAGAAGTTGCTGTGCATACACGTGTATACTCAGAACACTTGGGAAAGTTCTTGAAGACACTTCTCTGAACTTTGGAGAGATGCAACCCTCTCAATGATCACTTCCACATGGTTTGCTCAGCTCAAATAAATGCTGCATTAATTATGATTAAATTGTAAAGTTTAATTTTGTTGCAAATGGTATAATTAGAAGGCTTATCTTATTTTTCAGCTGTACAAGGTCCAGGTGTCATTTTTAGAACTGTGGAAGTTACTTTACATAAAGAAGGGAACACTTTTGGATTTGTAATTAGAGGTAAGTTCCCCATAATACTTTTCTCAAAAAATTTGAGCTGATATACTCCCAAATGTATTGTACGCTTTTGTCCACTATACACACTCCATCCCAATATAGCTGAAATTATTGTAATAAAAACTTTGTTGTAAACAAATACCATTCTATTGTTTTCATGGAATTTAGTCCCAGCAAATTTAACTGGATTCTGCTCAATAAAGAGCCAGCCTCATAAATATTTGAGTAACATTTTTAAAAAAGCAGGAGTGGAAAAGAAAACTTGTTATGTTCAAACATTCTTAAGATATTCAAGTTAGTTAATCTGGATGTCGATTTTGATACAAGTATGAGAATGTGTCTGTTTCATTGCCTCTCCTAGGTGGAGCACACGATGACAGAAATAAATCCCGTCCTGTTGTAATAACATGTGTTAGACCTGGAGGTCCTGCTGACAGGTATATTTCATTTTCTGGAGTGCACTTATACATACTGACATTCACACATGGGAAGAAATATGAATACAAAAGATCAAAGGCTAAATCACTGGAGGAAGGTGCAAGTTAAGACAGAGAACTACAAAGAACATGAGACACCTTCATGTGTATTCCATTCTACCTTATAAATTATACATGCAATTATTAGTGTTATCACAAGCATTGTATAAGACTGCATGGTATGAATTTTAAATGGAAACTTGGCTTCTTTGGTTAAATAGGATTTAATATCTGAATGTTTAACCAAAGTAGAACACACAGGACAGTATGCAAGTTTAATCTTCTAATTTTTGTAAAATTGTTTCCATTTTTTAAAAAAAAAAATCATTGTAGGGTGTTATTTTTTTATTTCATATTTGAAAAAAAATCCTTTTTTAATATAATGCTTTTTTTAAAAAAAAAAATTGACCTTAGGGATCTTAATGAACATTTACTCATAGTACTACTATTTCTATTTGTATCTCCTCCAAGAAACACAAAGCAGCATTTACTGATGCTACATTTATATCCTGCCTTTTCTCTGGGAGCTCAAAGTGAAACATATGGACTTTTGTCCATTTTATTCTTTCAGCAACAACCCTACAAGATGTTGGGCTGAGAGACAGTGATTAGCCCAAGATTATCCTGTGAACTCCAAGATCAAGTGGGAACTTGAACCTGGATGTCCCAGTCACAGTACAATACCTTAACAATTACACCAGATTCCTATTTTTATCCTCATAAAAACTCTGTGAGGTAGTTCAAATGAGTCAGTGACTGGACTAAGGGCATCTTGTAGGCAATTTAGCTTGAGTTTATTTCTGTTTCAATTACTGCAAAAATAGATATATTAATATTATGTTTTTAAGGTCAGTTAATCTGCCAGATTGAGTGATTCTTTGTGATTCTTGTAGCTCATTTAAAATTCTGTTGAATTGTATGCAATCTTTTGGCATGCAAAAAGCCCATGTTAATATTAAGGAAGAAATGTTGGAACACACTGATAATTTCTTTGTGGAGGGAGATTCCATTTGAATCCAGAGAAATGTTAGATACCCTCCTGTTGTGAAGTGTTTTGTTTTTGGTTTTCTATTTGTATATTTAGCCACTCGGTGTTGTAGGGCTATTCCTGCTTTTGGCACAAGCAGTCAGTGTGAGCGAGAGGGGTCAACAGAGATGCTTGTTCCTATCTGTCATACAGCTGCAGAACAACAAGCCAGTTGTTTGTGAGGAAGACCTGCTAGCTTTTCCTCCCCAACCCCTTGTGTGTTGATAGCGCGTCACTTGCTTGCTTTGTTCTTTCCAGCCACACATGCTTTGTGCATGGATGGAAAGATAACAGTAATTCTTATATAGAACTGAGTGCATTTTTATATGAACCCCAGAAAAGAAAGATTATCCAATTTTCTGTCACTTTGAGCAGAAAAAAAGCAAAAACTTGAAAAAATGAAAGAATGATTTACAAACGTGAACATTTTTAAATTGAAACTGTGAGCAACTAATTTGTTCTAAAGATTTTTTTTGTAGTAGTCAGACACTTCTATAAGATTCAAAGGACAGATTTAAATTTTCCATGATTGCCAATGCAGTAGAGAATTGGCAAAAGCTTCCTACAATACAGGTAGTCCTTGTTTAGCGACCACAGTTGGGACCAGCAATTCAGTCGTTAAGTGAAGAGGTCACTAAGTGAAAGCGCAGCTGTGCTTATGATCTTACTTCAGCTTTCCTTTGCTTTACAGA